TGTCCACGTGTTTAAATGCTCATGAAGTTCATTTAAACACGTGGACAAGCCCGCTGTCCCTATGGTTACTGAGGAGGGGTTAAGTAAACAGTCATTTTTTTAAACTGTGCTGTCTAATGTGCTTCAGGGAAGAAGAAAAAACAGCCTACGATGCAATTCTAAAGTTAAAGATGAGGAACAACACTGCGTGGCTCGCAGTAACGCCCTTACTGGCTGATCTTCTGCAGGATCTCGCAGGGGGACTGCCAGGTGATTCTCTCGAGTCGCAGCAGACCTACAGAGAACCACTCAGACAGCAAGCTCTTCAGCGCACCATTCAGGTCCTGTGGGAGAAAAAGGTGAGCGTTTAGCTGTAACAGCAACATCCAGCTGATAATTGAAACATTCGCCACATTCTTTCTGTTTCAGAGAGCAGCTCAGCAGCTGCTCTGTCGAGTAAATATAGTACAAGAAAAAGAAGGTCACCGCATCCACGATATTGAGTAATGCAAGCACTAACTGAATGTCATTTCACTGTTGCAGTGAAAAGTTGGAAGTGGAAAATAAAATACTGTCTTTTCCTATTAAGAAGTGGATAAATACAGGCTTTACAAGCCCGTGACCTGTTTTATTAGGAGCTCACAGACTAGAGCAGCTCAGCAGCTGAAGTTTGTCTGTGGCGATGAACAATTCATGGCCACATCTTAGACACTGTGCCTGGATGTGTGCTCCTTTGGGTGTCGGTATACAGTTTGAATGTTTTCACATTATGAATAGTGATTTGTTCGAGCTTGCAATAAGTGTAGAGGGGGCCACTTCAATAAGCAACTTGCCATTTGAAAGCAGGCCTGTCCTCCAACAAAGGTCAGACTTCATTTAAAGCAAATCTCTTGCAAACACACAAACAAGCTCACACGGTGCACACACTCAGGCACATAAATAGAGCTTATATTGGCTGTTTCATAGGATGGCTTCTCTTCAGGCTTACTTTAATGCCAGCTTGTCAATCATAATAAAAGCTAATGCAAACAAGCACAACTACAGTCACGGTGTAAAAGCCAGTGGCTGAAATTCTCCACGAGCAGCGATCGAATCCAAAGCTAACAGCATCTGAAATTCATTCCCACATATAAGCATCAGGCGCTGCATTATTCAGCTGTACGGGTGAGAAGTTTCAGACTAGAAGATTCTGTTGAGCAAAGAGCAAATCAAAAGTAACCCTGAAATAAAATTTTAGCAAAACTTCAATTTCGACTTATTTCATAGTATATATGTGTTCCTCAGACTTCACAAGCTGCCAGAAGTGAAATAATCTACGATAGCTGATACGCACATCAACAGCGCCGCGAGGGAATAGCAGCCGCCGGCTCGGGCGGCCAATTTTCACCCACACAAAAGAGAGGTCAAACTGGGATGTGTATTCCATTGACCCAGCAGAAGATGGAGTCTTTAGAAATGGAAGAGTGCATCATTCAAGGCCTCGCGTTCGGAGAGAGGGAGAGAGGGATGGCAGGAAGAAAGGGAAGGGGTAAAAAAGAAAATCCTGCAACCCATTAAAAAGAAAATGAAGCGACACTTTTTGGAGCCGTATCAATGCAGCTGGGCGCTGATGCTGTAAGGCGATACGGCCTCTGCTACGAGCAGCCTCTCGAGCTGGAGTTATTTTGTGACTATATGGTGAGCCAGCATGAGCTGCCTGCACAAGGCCAGGTGACCACTGACTGTCCAAGTGTTTCAAAGGTCAGTCAGAGCCTGCCAGTACCTTTGCTCCAGCAGGGCGCGTGCCTGTGAGCTTGTGCGTCGAAGGGGAAAAAATAGTCCCGCTGACACGCAGGGAGCCAACTAACACGATATCCTTGACATGTCCTGACCAGTGTTGGGCAAGTTACTTTGAAAAAGTCATTAATAATAGTTGCTAGTTACTTCTTAAAAAAAAAACTGAGTTAGTAACTGAGTTACAATATTCTAAAAGTAATTAATTACTTGAAAAGTAACTATTACGTTAATGTTTAACCCCCTGGACTCCAGGGTATAATTGGCCATTTTTAACTACGTTTGATTTTCCCTCCATATTTCACCTTTACAAACGATTTCCTTTGTCTTGTTTGGTCTCATCCTTTTCAGCACAACCTCACGTGTCTGAATTTACAGTCATGTTTTCATTTTGACAAACTGTATTAACACAATTGATCTAAAATCAGACAAAAAACATAAAATCCGAGTAGAAAAGGTGATTTTTTTACTGTAACAACCACAAACATGTTTATTGAATCATATTTCATAACTTTAAATGCAAATATAAATGGTCAATTTTAAAATCTATGTACAAGTTTTGCAAACAACAAAGTTATTTGCAGCCATTTACCTTTTACCCCTTTTTCAATAAGATGCCACAAATTATTTGTGCCACTGCAAAAACATAATTTCTGTCCACTATAAAGGAAACATCACAGCTGATACCTGCAGGTCTGACAGCAGCAGGTGTGTCACTCCTGTTTCTACCTGGAGACAGCAGTCGCCTCATTGTTCTGACACACAACACAAAACTATCCACAACACTTCACACTAACTACACAAGACAACGCATTAACTACACACTACAAACACGCTGAACGTCACAAATCTCTCACATCTCAAAGCTCTCTTTCTCTCTGTCACTCCTAAATCTTCCGCCTCTTCCTAAACAACCAAATGTCATGTTTCCATATCATTTTTTGATTGGTCGACATGGTGCATTTTTCCACCAACACCAAAGGGCTGTTTTTTGTTTTGTTTTTTAATTTCTTGCACATAAGCAGAGCGGTCTCGCTGCGCTGTCCTTAAGACAGTAAACATGACGAAACTATTGAGGAAAAACACGCGTATATCTCTCTATATTATTTATCTAATTATAAACTGGTATATGTCACCTCGTTGCTTTGTCTTGAAGTGGTCATGTGATTGTTTACCACGACTACTTTATTCTTCCTCAGTCAAACAGCAGCACTTATGCGATTGTTTTGCCTCCTGAGCTCCAGGTGTTTTGTCAAAAAGTGATCGTCGGGCAGAAAGTGATCGCCGCCCGCGGGAGCGCGCAGCTGCTTAAAGCTGCAGCGCCCAGATTACTTACAGCTACTTCTGTGCAGCTGATATAAGATGCTGTAAGCTGAACACAACTTCAACCGTCTGCTTGTTGGAAAATAGTAACGCAACCACATTTTCTTGTTAGTAACGGTAACGGCGTTGTAGCGATAGGAATAGTAATTAGTTAGATTACTCGTTACTGCAAAAAGTAACGCCGTTATTCCCATGACTGGTGCTAACATCTTCCAGTTGCAGTTTGGATGAACACAAATGAAAGGGCCTGAAGCAAAAAGGTGAGAGGGAACATCAAAAGTCAATATGCAAATCCGACTAATCGAAATGAAAGAGAACCACGGCGACTCGGCCTTGGGTACATTTAAAAAGTGAATGTACCCAAGGCTTTTATGCTGTACTGTAGTTCTACAGTCATTACCATATTCTGATTGCAAGGTCTCCCTTGGTATGCACATACCTTCAACGCAGGCACTAAAGCTTCACGTTGGCTGTGACCTTTTCTCATTTTTTAGCTCAATCAATGCAGGCGGTGACAACAAGCAAAGATTACGAGGCACCGACAAGACCAACGTTTCCAGTGCTGAGAAGAAGTCGCTACTCTGTTGGCAACTTAGACCTTTTTAAGCTACACAGGCTCTCAGTGGTCCTGGGTTATTGAGATTAAGCACATCTGAACCACGTTAGAGCAGGAACGGTGCAATCGGGGTCTTTAAAAAACATATCAGCCAGTAGCACTTAACAGATGAAAACACATGATTGCAAGGTCAAAGGTATATGCACTTTCAGTGCTTTCCAAAGTAGGGATGCAACGATACCAATTTTTTCAAACCGATACGATACCGATACTT